GGCCATGGTGAACCCGCAGAACGAGTCACGTGACCAGCGAACCATCTCCACCCTGGCTTCCACACTCGACCGCCAGGCCAAGTACCAACAGCTGATCGATGAGGAGAGGGATAAGGTGAGGGGGAGGGGGGGGTGGGGGGGTTCTGTTTTTTGGGGGGGTGGTTGGTGGTGGGGGTTGTGTGTGTTGTTTTTTTTTTTTTGTTTTTTTTTTTGTTTGTCTGGTTGGCTGTCTCTGTTTCTCTGTCTGTCTGTTTATTTCTCTGTCTGTCTTTCTATTTCTCTTTCTTTCTTTTCTCTCTCTCCCTCTCTCTCTTTCCTCTTTCTCTCCACCTATTCCCTCCCTCTCCTCTCTCTGCCTCCTTTCCCTTCTCCCCCTCTCCCCTTCCCTTCCCTCCCTCCCCTCTATCATTCCCTCTCTCTGTCACCCTTTCCTCCTTTCCCCCTCCCTCTCCTCTTTCCCTCCCTCTCCCCTCTATCATTCCTCCTCTCCTGTCTCCCTTTCCCTTCCCGCCCCCCCCCTCTCCCCCTTCCCTCCCTCCCCTCTCCCTCACTTCCATTCCTTCTCTCCCCTCTCTCTGCCCGCCTCCCCACCCCTCTCCCCTCCCTTCCCTCCCTCTCTCCATTCCCACCCTCTCTCTCACCCTGCAACTCCCCCTCCACCATCTCCTCTCTCTCTCTTCTATTATACCTATATATATTCCCTCTCTTTCCCAACCACACGAACCACTCATCACTTAGCCATAATTCTCCAAAACCGAAATTAGAAGAAAAAATCATTCAAAATCTCAAAATCATTCAAAATCGACGTTATTAGAAGAAAAAAAATAATTCAAAATATCAAAATCAATCAAAATCGACGTTATTAGAAGAAAAAAAGCCATTCAAAATATCAAAATCATTCAAAATCGACATTAGAAGAAAAAAAGCCATTTCAAAATCGACGTTATTAGAACAAAAAAAAAAAAAAACAGCCATTCAAAACCTCCTCCTCGACGTTAAAACCTCCTTCTCCAGATCAGTGACTTGGACGGCTCCATCGCAGCGGCCGAGAAGAAAGTCCGAGAATCCAGGCGCCGAGTCCCGTCAGCCCGCCAGCTCGAGTCCCGCCGGATGACTGCTCTCAGCGCCAAGAAAGCTCTGCAGAACCGCATCCAGCAGGTTAGGTGATGACGTCACCGGGCGAACGGGTTGTTATGCGAACGCGGAAGGGCGGAGGGCGGGGAAAGTTTGCGGTGTTGCTATCGTTTTTTTTTTTTTTTTTTTCGCTTGATTTGCTTCGATTTTTATTATCTTTTTTTTAGCAGTGGTAGTATCGATATCATTATTATCTATTATCATTATTACTGTTAAGAGTATTGTCATCATTACCGTTATTATTGCAATTACTTCAATTAACTGTATCATATCGATCGATTTATCCCATTTCATTTATCATTTATCATTATCATTATCATTATCATCATTATCATTATCATCATTATCATTATCATCATTATCATTATCATCATTATTATATCATTCATATCATTATCATCATTATCATCATCATCATCATCATCATCATTCATCATTATCATCACCATTATCATCATTATTTGCATCACCCCATCATTCTCACAGCATTATCACCCCTAAGTTTGCCATCAGTTGCATTAATAATACGAATTTCATTTTCCAGGCAACAGTCCGCCTCAATGCTGTGCTCGCTGACAATCGCGTCTTGAGGACAAACCTTGAAAACCTGTTGAAAGAACGAGACAAATTCATGCTTCAGGTGAGGAGGAAGGAAGGAGGGAAATGAGGGAGGGAAGGAAGAAGGTTAAAGTGGAGGAGAGAGGGGAGAGGGAGGGGAGGGAGGGGAGGGGGGAGAGGAGAGAGAGGAGAGGGGGGAGGGAGGGAGAGAGAGAGAGAGAGAGAGAGGAGAGAGAGGAGAGAGAGAGAGAGAGAAGAGAGTGTGTGAAGAGAGAGAGAGAGAGAGAAGAGAGAGAGAGAGAGAGAGAGAGAAGAGACGAAGAGAGAGATGAGAGAGAGAGAGAGAGAGAGGAGAGAGAAAGAGAGAGAGAGAGAGTATGTGTGGTGTGTGTGTGAGGAGAGAGAGAGAGAGAGAGAGAGAGAGGAGAGAGAGAGGAGAGAGAGAGAGGAGAGAGAGAGAGAGAGAGAGAGAGAGGGGGGGGGGAGGAGGGAAGCAAAGAGGGAGAAACAAAAAGTACAATTATATTAGTAAAGGGAGAGACAAAGAAGAGAGAGAGAGAGAGAGAGAGAGAGAGAGAGAGAGAGAGAGAGAGAGAGAGAGAGAGAGAGAGAGAGAGAGAAAAGCTTTCGTGACAACTGAAGTCCCTTTAGGATTTAGAGTCTTCTGAGACAGTGATGGGTTTTTAAGTCTTTCATACACTTCCTTTACAACACACACCTTTATTCACATTTCTCTACCTACCTTTAATTACTTTGTATCCACTTCCAATATACAACCACAACCACATAAGCAATGGTACTTACATCCTCACATCTACAACATATTTGCTCTTTAAAAGACTCATAAGAAACCCAAGTTGACCTAAGCTAACCTAAGCTAACCTCGACCCTGCAGGCTCAGCGACTGGAAAAACAGCTGCAAGGAACAGTCAAGAGAAAGAGTGACGTCATGGACCAGGTCACCAAAGCATATTCCGAGAGGTATGTCCCTCGTTCAGGCGTCTTCGATATACTTTGCAGGACTGGATTTAACAGAGTTCGTAAATAAACTCATTAGTATGGTTTTTTTTCCTGTGAAAAGGGGTTAATTGAAGATGCCTAAACAATTTTGTAGATTGATTGAAGGGGATACGAGTCTAATGCAAATGATATTCCGAGACAAATCCTTCCCTTTTTTAGATTTATTTAAGTGTGGTCTTTCTTGCGAGTTTTTAAAGATCACTAAATCACTTAACCAATTTTATCTATTCAACATGTATGAGAAACAGCTTTCGCAAACTCCATTAAGTTTAGTCTGTGGGAGTTTTTGGGTTTCATTTCAAGCTGCAAGAATAAGCTTGCCTTTACTTCTGATACAGAGTCTGGGTAAAAGACAGTGGCATTGCTTTGAAAGGATCTAATGAAAGGCTGAAGTTTTCCTGAACTGACAAAGTGATTTTCCAGAAATGCAATCGTTATGGAAAGACATTGAGTATCTAATCGAAAACAAATTTGATTGCAACAGTGATCCACCTAAACTCTATCCTTACACTTATCAGCCCCTCTTTCTACCCGAAACCCTATGATTATAGAACGAAAAACATCACCACCGCTACCTCCTTCTTTAATCCCCCCCCCTCTTTGATATATAGGAAAACGATCAACCACATACTCCTCTCTATAACCTCTTTTGATAATAGAAACGAAAAAACCACCACATCACTCCCTCTCTATAACCCCCCCCCTCTTTTGATATATAGAAACGAAAAACATCACCACAATACTCCTCTCTATAACCCCCCCCCCTCTTTTGAATATATAGAAAACGAAAAACATCACCACATACTCCTCTCTATAACCCCCCCTCCTCTTTTTGATATATATAGAAAACGAAAACATCATCACATACTCCTCTCTATAACCCCCCCCCCCTTTTGATATATAGAAACGAAAAAACATCACCACATACTCCTCTCTCTAATAACCCCCCCCCCTTTTGATATATAGAAACGAAACTCACCACATACTCCTCTCTATAACCCCCCCCCTCTTTTGATATATAGAAAACGAAAAACATCACCACATACTCCTCTCTATAACCCCCCCTCTTTTGATATATAGAAAACGAAAAAACATCACCACATACTCTCTCTATAACCCCCCCTCCTCTTTTGATATATAGAACGAAAAAAACATCACCACATACTTCCTCTCTATAACCCCCCTTTTGATATATAGAAAACGAAAAACATCACCACTACTCCTCTCTATAAACCCCCCCCCCCCCTCTTTTGATATATAGAAAACGAAAAAAGCATCACCACATACTCCTCTCTATACCCCCCCCCCCTCTTTCTTATGATATATAGAAAACGAAAAACATCACCACCTATCCTCTCTAATAACCCCCCCCTTTTGATATATAGAAAACGAAAAACATCACCACCTACTCCTCTCTATCCCCCCTCTTTGATATAGAAAACGAAAAACATCACCACCTACTCTCTCTCTATAACCCCCCCCCCCTCTTTGATATATAGAAAACGAAAAAACATCACCACATACTCCTCTCTATAACCCCCCCCCCTCTTTTGAATATATAGAAAACGAAAAACATCACCACCTACTCCTCTCATAACCCCCCCCCCTCTTTTGATATATAGAAAACGAAAAACATCACCACCTACTCCTCTCTATAACCCCCCCTCTTTTGATATATAGAAAACGAAAAACATCACCACATACTCCTCTCTATACCCCCCCCTCTTTTGATATATAGAAAACGAAAAACATCACCACCTACTCCTCTCTATAACCCCTCTTTTGATATATAAAAAACGAAAAACATCATCCATACTCCTCTTAAACCCCCCCCTCTTTTGATATATAGAAAACGAAAAACATCACATACTCCTCTCTAACCCCCCCCCTCTTTGATATATAGAAAACGCCCCCCCTCTTTTGATATATAGAAACGAGATATATAGAAAACGAAAAACATCACCACCTACTCCTCTCTATAACCCCCCCCCCTTCTTTTGATATATAAAAACGAAAACATCACCTCCTCTCCATAACCCCCCCCCCTCTTTTGATATATAGAAAACGAAAAACATCACCACATACTCCTCTCAATAACCCCCCCCCCCTCCCCCCGACAGAGACGAAGCCCAGACGAAGATGCGAGCCCTGAGAGAACGCGCCGAACGTGACGCCCAGCAGTACACCCACGAACTGAAGAAGCTGCAGCGCGCCCTCGATCACCAGCAGCACCTGAGGGCTTTCGTGGCCACAATCTCTGCAGGAGAAGAAGAGGAGATGTCGAGGCGAAAGGGAGATGGTGAGTGTGTATTTCCCTCGTCCGGGCGTCTTCGATATACTTTGCAGGACTGAATTTAATAGAGTTCGTAGATTTACTGATTAGCAGGATTATTTTACCTGTGAAGGATTATTTTATCTGTGAAAGGGGGTTAAATGAGGTGCCTAAACAATTGTGTACATTGACAAAAGGGGATACAGGAGTCCGATACATATATATATATATATATATATATATATATATATATATATTATATATATATATATATATATATAATATATATATAAATGTATATACGTGTGTGTCAGCACACACACACACACACAAATGTGGCTGATAGGAGGTCGGTGATTGATTGGTGATTGGTAAACTTGTTACTCTTATTCTGAGTGTACTTTTTGTGTACACGTGTGCTTTTACCCACAAAATGGACGTGTTCGGGAATGCATAGACAGAACACACCCATCAAATATCCCCATTTTCTCCCCCAGGTGAAGGCGTAGAACCCAGGGGACCAGAACAGACCCTAATCACCTACAGGGCCTCCGTGTCTCACCTGAGGGAGATGAGCGGCGAGGACTCGGTGGAGTCACTGGTCACGAACTACCTGCAGGCGGAGAATGACAACTACACGCTCTTTACCTACATTTCTGACCTGAATAATGAGGTGAAAGGAAGATTTTTTTATGTGTGTGTGTAAAGTAAATATGAAAATAAAGATGAATATATAAATATATATATATTATAAATATATATTATCAGTTATTCATATAAATATTATTCATATATATTGTTATATATATATATAATATATATAATATATATATATATAGAAGAGAGAGAGAGAGAGAGAGAGAGAGAGAGAGAGAGAGAGAGAGAGAGAGAGAGAGAGAGAGAGAGAGAGAGAGAAGAGAGAGAGAGAGAGAGAATCTAAAAGATAAAGAAAGAAGAAAAAAAAATATAATACCAAGCATAGAAAAAAGCATATTGGAAAAAGTACGAAAACAAACAAGACAATAAAAGAGAACTGAAATTCAAAAATCCAACCTCCCAACAGGTCACCAGCTTGACCACGGAAGTCCGGCGTCTCCGAGAGCAGATCGAGGACACGCGAAACAAGAGCGCCGAACACGAACGGGAAACGCAGCGCACCATTTCGCAGTTGCTGGTGAGTGAGAATAATTTATTTTGTGAGTTACGTTTCCTTTTTTTTTGTTCTGTGTTGTAACTCTCCTGTCGATTTATAGCTTCTGGTGTGTGTGTTTTTGGGTCTTAGTTGATTGACCTTCTGTGGCTTATTTGGAGATATTAATTGGTTTTTATAGTTTATTAGATTTGGCAAACCGTGGTAACTGATCCTTCGTAGCTCACTTTTAGAGTAATATAAAGGCTAAACGAATATTTATAGTATGCCCGTATCCCTGTGTAAGTAACGGAAGCACTTGCTCGTAATTTCCAGTATGATTTATTTTGCTGTATGTCCCTATTTGAGCCGTGTAGTGCACGTGGTTCGTGTTTACTCAGCTGCTCTGTGTTACGGGTATTTTGCTGATTTGTCTTTCGCATGGGAGTCAGTCCAACATAGAAGGGACTACATAGTGATGGTAACTGTCTCCTGATACTTAGAGGAATAGATTTAAATATTTGCGTATTGTGATAAGCAAATACCACGGGCTAAATATGTTTCTCTTTGTGTTAGACTCGACTGTGTTGCGTGACAGAAGTACCTCTTAAGGCTTTTCGTGATACAGCAAATGGCGCTTTGCGTATTGTGATAAGCAAATACCACGGGCTAAATATATCTTTGTGGTTGCCTCGACTGTGTTGCGTGACAAAAGTACCTCTTAAGGCCTTTCGTGATACAGCAAATGGCGCGCTGTCAATACCTCCCTCGTTTCCCCTTGAAATCTCTCACACACACGTCCCTTCGCTCGTTTTCTCGCAGTCGTTATATCTTGCGCAGTGACGACCGTACACGACCCCCTCCCATCCCTTAATCCCTCCTCAAACAAAACCTATTAAGCCCTATTCTCTCATTTTTCTCCAGGCCGACGTGGAGAGCGCCGAAGAGGCAGTAGAGCTCCTGGAGGCTGACCTCAGGCGCGCGGAGGAGACGCTGACGGAGATGAAGACGGCGACGCAGGAGCTCTTCGACCTGATGCAGTGCGACCCGCAGCCCGTGGTGGCCATCGTGGGTGAGTGTCGGTAGGAAAGGTGGTGGAGGTTGGTGGGTGATGGGAGGTTGACGGGTGATGGGAGGTTGGTGGTTGGTGGTTGATAGGAGGTTGGTGGTTGATCGGTGGTTGGGTTGATAGGAGTTGGTGTTGATGGTTGAGTTGATGGGTGATAGGTGGTTAGTGGTTGATAGGTGGTTGGTGGTTGATGAGTGATAGGAGGTTAGTGTTCGGGTGGTAGGAGGTTGGTGGTTGGTGGGTGATGGAGATGGGTGGTTGTAGGTGAGTGGTGGAAAGAGGTAGGCTATTGGCTGTTAGAGGCTGCGAATGATTAGAGGTAGACTGATGATTAGTAAAGGTATATTGCTAATTAGTGGTAGATGGATGATTAGTAAAGGTATGTTGTTTAGAGGTAGATTAGTATATTAGTAAATCTTATCGTTGGATATTTACATTATATATTATATTCATTGTTTAGATATTGCAAGTTATTGGTTAGCAGATACTTCGTAATCAGAAGTGAACAATTGACAAAAGTAGATTACTGATTAGTGTGTAAAGTTTAACAGGCATGAAATAACTTCCCTAAATATCATCACCATTAGAGCAATTACTGTATCATTGAAAGGGAATCAGTAATTATGTCACTGCAATAACTGTATCACTGTTATGATTAGGTGTTTAGTACGAGATAATAGCTATAATGAAAACCATATAATTAGTTTTATTATTAGCCGCATGATTACCATCTATTGCTGCTAAACCTCCTAGTACAGTGGTTCTTAACCTTTTGAGTCAGACACCTTTAACAGTCTGATGAAAGGAAATGGACTCCTTCTCCAGAAATCTTCACACAATCACTACTTCGCATGCTATTTTTATCATGTAATGTATTTATTGAGATTTCTTTGTCTTTTACATATATGAAATACAAAAGAGTATTAATAAGCTTCAAAGTAAACAATCTAAAGAAAAGAGACAATAAAAATGTTACTTTTATCTGATCCTCACCCCCCCCCTGAAACCCATCCATAGACCCCAGGTTGAGTGACCTTGGGATATATTCACTACATGATTTCCTACCACGAAACCAGCGCTTTAATAATTACAACATATAATAAGTACCGATTGATTACCGACACAGTAATTGCTTCAATAAATCCTCGAACGTAATAAAAAACACTGAAGATGTTCCTGTAATTACGAAACGTCCACTATCACTGGTATCCCCAACAACGTAGTCATCTACTCATCAACATTAAAGTTACAGCTTTCCCTCTTAAATCAACAGCGCTATGGTCATTTCGAAATTGCCATCACATAACCATTTAATTGCTCCCAAAATCACCACATAATCACCAACATCTCCATTACATCAGACATAAACTACCACTACATGATCATCAGACATTAACTACGGCCACATAATCATCAGAAAACTACCACCACATAATCAGACCTTACTTACCACCACATAATCATCAGCAAATACCTACCACCACCATAATACATTAACTCATAATAAAATAACCACCACATAATCATCAGCAAATAACTACCACCACATATTCATAACCCAAAAACGATTACCTCCATTACACCCGTGTCCCATCCCAAGGCGGAGGAGAGATCACCAGCGCGTCCGTGTCCGTTTACCTCTCCGTGGTCGAACAGCGCGTCCACGAAGTTCTGCAGCTGAGACAGTTCCTGCTGGCGGAGGAGCTGGGTCCTGGATCAGGGTTCGGGGACGACATTCCTCACGACGATGGATCCGAAGGGAGGTCTTCATCGGCCTCGTCCACGCGCTTCATCCTGCCCATCGGGAAGCCCCAGTGAGTTATTGTTCTTGTGTTTCTTGCTCTAAGACACTGTTGTCCCAACTGGTGTCCGCATACTTGTGGGGGTACGCAATATAGATCATAAGGGTACGTGAACAAACAAGGAACACACACACACACACAAACAGAAACGTTACATGTTCTATGAATCATCTTTTTTATTCGTGTATTAAATTCGAGTTTATTGACCAACACTCTAGCAATGCAGTTTTTTTTTATAATTAGTATATTATTTGCATCATCCTAAATAAAACTGTTTAGCCATGGTGGACGTGGGGGAGGGGGCGTAACAGTACAAGAAGGTAATAAAGGGTACAATAAGCGAAAATGTTTGGACAACACTGGGCTAAGAAAAACGTTGCGGAAAAAATAACGTTGAAAGCTCGGCCTTTCCATCGTATGTGAGGAAGGGATACGAAGTTGAAATTTCACATACATGTGAACTGAAGTAATATGTTGCTTTCAGAACCGTAAGGAGAAAGTATTCTTGAAATGTATTTATCAGTTTAAAAGTTGACATTATTCTGTTCTTGATTGCATTTTCCCTTTGCAGGTTGAGCCACGCTGCACATGCCAACGACGAGGAGCCAGTGAACGGCGGTCCTCTCACCCATGTGGACCTCATGTCCAACATGAGGAGATTCATTCCAGATTCAGGCGATAATTAAGGGGTTGAAACGCTTATACTTATACATTAGGCATACACTTGAAAAGTACACATAGGCCTACAGTTATGCAGTACATTTATGAATATATATACGAGTAGATGCTGAAATTGAGATAAAGGGAGAGAGAGAGAGAGAGAGAGGCAGTAATGTTTTGACTGTTTGACAAACTGCATTAGCATTGAAATGGTAGATATAAAAATGACAGAAATCTAAGGAAAGAGAAATAATTTTATGTTTTTTATGTTTTAGTGTTATTACTTTTAAATGACTCTTTATTCTAACATCTTTAACTCTGTAGTACTCGATCTCACTTTAAAGGAATAAATTTATGTTACAAAAATTATCACTGTCATTGCTTTACCATCGCGAGTATAACCGTTAACATGTTTTTCTCCCATTGGCGGTTAGACTTGTAGCAATAATAATATAACCTTTGTGGTGTTTGTTTCTGGCTATGGAAACCGTTGGTATCACCATCGCCCAGTATTGAAAAGTATGATAAATGCACACCTGAGAAGTTTCCGTTGATAGCTGATCGTACGCATATATATCAGATGAATTATTGCAAGATATATGGAAGGACACACGGTAAGGTAAAACTTCGAGAAATGAACAGGAGACGGTGTTTTGTAAAAGTCTTTTATAGAAAATAAGCAGTTTACTTGAATTATGTTAATTACAATAAATGCACAATAATTAAAATGAGTACAGTGAACCCTCGCTATAACGCGGTTCACCTTTCACGTTCTCGCTGCTTCACGGATTTGCATTGTGCATTGTGTTCTGCATTCTGATTGGCTAAACAGTCTCTCCGCTTCTTCTCTACCTGTGTGTCAATAACGTTACTGTTTAATATGTACATTTACGTAAAACAGCTTGCCAAATTTAAGTTTGCAAATTTTCTCTAAAACCCATGAAGCCTTCAGTTCGTATACAGTACTTTTATTAGTTAAACAAATGCTTGGGCCTGTAAAAAGGTTTTGTTCTTTGGTTTCAATGTATTGTAGAGTATTTCATTGTATAATAATTGTAAAAAAAAATAAAGGTTACTACTTCACGGATTTCGCCTATCACGGGTTCTTTTTGGAACGTAACCCCCGCGAAAAACGAGGGTTCACTGTAATTTGAAATTATTTTGCTGTATTTCTTTCTTTCGTATGTACTCCGAGGTCTCAACCAAAAGTGACGTCAAACATATTATATACATTCTCATCTATGCTGATATGTGTATTCTAGGAGTTGTTTCTTAACGAGCTTTTTTTTTTTTTATTTTATTAATTAATTTATTACTTAAAACATGTACATTTTAATACCAGTTATTTTTGTAATTTTCTTTCTTATATATCTTGACTGAAGACTTAGGCAAACAAATCTGATAAACATTAATTTTTTTAATACCAGGTATTTAGATTTCCAGTCCAGTGGTTTCTTATTCATCTTTATTAGATATTATCTTTTGCAAACGTCATTGTTACAGTTGCCCTTTTCAGTATGATTCGTACTTTGTCAATATCTTTTTAATGATTATTAGTCATCATCGAAATTATCATTACTGCTGTCGTAATAATACACTTTATAATGGCGAAGCTATTGAAGGTGTATATGATTTTCACTATCATTATATATCACTTCTATACACCTTTATCTGTTATCTTTTTATTATCATTTCCGTTTGTTATTCCCATTCTTATCATCATCATCCCCAACATCATCATCGTCATCGTCATCATCATCATCGTTGCCCTGATTGTCGTCATCATCATCATCGTTGCCCTGATTGTCGTCATCATCATCACCATCATTATTATCATTATCATCATCATTATTTTAACCCGAATTTAGGGTGTAGCACAAGTGCATCTTCTGCCCATTTTTGCAGAATATTTTGTTTTTATTCTGCGGATGCGCTTGTTGTGTACAAAAACAATATCCTGCAATTTATTCATTCATTTGTGTATGAAAACAATATTCACCTGTTCCCAGATTGTAAGAACCTGAAATTGTTGCATTCATATACATAATTGCCAAATTCAAGGTGCTCATTGGCAACTGCGTGTGTGGGGTGTGTGGTGTGTGGGGGGGGGGGCGTGATCGCATGATACAATAAAATGCCGACATTTTCCATTGTGGAGTAAATCGTTAACGTTGGGTTTTACTTACGGATACATTCGTACCACGATATATATCTGTATGTTACTTGCAGGCGTTATTTTGGGTATGATCCTGTTGTTGGCTCCACTCATTTATGTCTCAGTTGTTTTTGGAACTATATATCAGGGTTCTCAGGCAGCGTGACACCAGTTGTGGTAAGGATGTATGATACTCTTTAGTACACAGAGGACAAGTTCTATTCTCAGTGCAAAAGGGTATTGTAGTTCACGTTAGTATTGTTTTTTTTTTTTCTTCTTCTTCTTCTTCTTCTTTTTACGAATATAGAAATCTAAGTCAGTTAGCTTAGGTTTCAAACTACGCATTTTTTTTTTTTTCTATTTGCATCATCGTCTCTCTTTTCCAATCGCTTTTATTGATGTAATGTCACTTAGAAAAGGAATAGATAAATCACATTTCTTTAGCATGAGAAAGTATTGGGTTAAAAAGGCGCATAGGGAGAGAGAGAAGAGAGAGAGAGAGAGAGAGAGAGAGAGAGAGAGAGAGAGAGAGAGAGAGAGAGAGAGAGAGAGAGAGAGAGAGAGAGAGAACATTTATGAATTCAATGAAACAAAAGACATTCGATACACACCACTTGTGAAGAGAACATCCGCTGAAAATAGTCTTCACATGAACTGAGTCACCATATTTTCTCAGAGAAACAGAAGCACTATATCATTTCATACCTCTTCTTCCTTATCATTATTTAACACAAGACGATAATAAAAAAATAACACCATAGATCACTTACTAACCTAATAATTACCACTCCAACATTCTTCAATATATTTACCTTTACCTACACCTAATGGCAAGTAAACAATGAAAAGATCAAGTGGTTATCTTGTATTATACGGTACAACTTAGAGATCATATCTCCCCATAGATAAGCAAGATGTGAAAGATAAAGAGAATTAGTGTGTGTGTGTCAGGGTACGAGGTATTTCACCAAGACTCGAATGTGGGCAACTGTGTGCGTGTTTGTGTGGTTGTTTCTGCAGGTGTGAACGTGTTTTTGATCAATTGTTGCTCAATCTGAATTTACGAGAAAAAGGCACTAGGTTTCGTAAACCTTTGAAGAGAACTAAAAAAACGCTTGACGCACACACACACACACACACACACACAACACACACACAATACACAACACATCACTCACAACAATAATACACACACACACAACACACACATGTGGTACATATAACATAACATTGTACAAATATATATATATATATAATATATATATATATATAATATATATATATATATATATATATATATATATATATATATATATATGCATATACAGAAGAGGCAACCTCCCCTAAGCTAGACTACAAGACGCCCCTGAGCGGAGCAACAGCCAGGCCGCCCGACCAGGTTATGCGGAGCTTCTAGCCATTGAACGAAGCTGATGCTAGTGAGGCGGTACATATCAGCTGGAGGCATATATCAGCTGATGATTCTGCCAGAAAATAAGTGAGCGAATGGTATTCTTAACTGTAAGGTAGAACTGCGAACCAAGGTCTATGGAGAGCACACACACACGCACTCACACACACACACACACACACACACACACACACACACACACACACACACACAACACACACACACACACACAACACACACACACACACACACACACACACACTCACACACACACACAGAAGAGGAGCACACACACACACACACACACACACACACACACACACACACACACACACACACACACACACACACACACACACACACACACACAACACACACACACACACACACACACAGAGAGAGAGAGAGAGAGAGAGAGAGAGAGAGAGAGAGAGAGAGAGAGAGAGAGAGAGAGGAGAGAGAGAGAGAGACAGAGAGAGACAGACAGAAAGAGAGGGAGAAAGAGAGAGACAGAGACAGACAGAGAGACAGAGAGAGACAGAGAGAGAGACAGGAGACAGAGAGAGAGAGAGAGAGACAGAGACAGAGAGACAGAGAGACAGAGAGAGAGAGAGAGAGACAGAGAGAGAGAGAGAGACAGAGAAGAGAGACAAGAGAGAGACGAGGAAGAGAGACAGAGAGAAGAGGAAGAGAGAAGAGAGAGAGAAGAGAGAAGAGAGAAGAGAAGAGAGAGAGAGAGAGAGAGAGAGAGAGAGAGAGAGAGAGAGAGAGAGAGAGAGAGAGAGAGAGAGAGAAGAGAGAGAGAGAGAGAGAGAGAGAGAGAGAGAGAGAGAGACGGGTGATAACAAATAAAACCGATTTGTACCCACATATTAGTACACGTATACATATACATATAAATTTCAAACTCAAGTAAAGGAAAGAATCGGCAGGAATTGTCATGCGGCCTGTTAATGAACTTACTCTGTGTCTGTGTCCGCTCGAGAGTTATTTCGCAATATTACGAAACATATCTATAAAATTATCTAATATATTCATACAAAATTTAACTAAGTTTTGATATTCTTCAAACCCCATTGGATACTGTCACACTTCCTGCCCTATCAAGAATACCGTAGATAAAATATGACACAAGACGAAGCCACGATTCAGACATTTGTACATGAGAGGTGACAGCTACGGGGAAATCGGAATTCTCCTAAACAATATCTCAACGCGAAAAATAACCCACACCGTGACAGTCTACACGTACACTCAAAGACAATATCATAAAATCCCACAAGATATTAAAGCCTGCATTATAACACCCTCCTGCAATATGAGAGATTGATTAAAATAACCAAAATATGTTGTACACGTCAGCTTGTTGTTGTAAATCGGAGTGTTCCAACACCTGCGGTCTCGTAGTGGTCACGTCAGCAAGACTTTCCTCCGTTTATTTCACTTTCAAGGGAATTTCTCGTGGAAGTCGGCGCTCGTTCATTTATCCAACATGGTAAGAGGACCTGGATGCTAATGATACTTGCGTAGGATCAAGGAAGATGAGAAAATAGGTCTAATATGCTTCAATAATGTCATCAGCTGATCGCCAAGGGTCAGCTGATGACAGTTGAATATTTGTTATTTTTCGAGTTGTTTTGTAAAGATATTAAAAGTTATCTGTGGACTTGCTTTATTCTCTGTGTAGTGTGGTATTTCCGTTATTTATCTGTTATTATCATTATGGAGAAATTGTTGAATTTCTCTTGTTTTTTTAATACGAGTTTTGGGACCGTATTTTACCATAACCA